ACCGATGATGGATGGCTATTTTTTATAATGAGGCAATAGACGACTTCACCGATATATAATACTTCTGACATGGACATCAAGATCGCCACTATCCCCAAAATAAGATCGCCTACTGATTCTGACATGTGGGTTTGTACAATGCTTTCTTTCGAACGCCCTTAATAAAGAATTTATGGTAAAACGAAAGGATATGCGGGATCACCAAAAAAGATAATCTTGATCTGAGAATTCTACCCAGGGCTCGACTTTTCATCCATCCACACAAAATTTTCAAGGGTCAAGAAAAGAAGGAGGATGAGTGGAGTGAGTGATGGTTGACACTCCGATTAGTCTAACTGTTTCGCCTAGCTAAGAGTCATAAAGCAAAAGGGCACTTCATGAGAGTCAACCCATATTCTTGTCTAACTTAAGGACGTTGAACAAAAATACTACCCAATGATAGCCCTGATTTTCTTTTTTGTTCTCGTTTCTCGAACAATTGGTTATTCAATAAAAAGGTTTTTTATTTTATTTTGTTAGTTGAGTTGTAGATTTTGGCAATTTCTCGTATTAAGGAACAAATTCTCATACTCAAGTGCATCTTGCATATGCTATTTCGGATTGGCTTGTGCATTAAAATATCATATAAACGGAACGCAAGCATCCTAACCAGGCAACGCATTCAAACCAGACTGAACCACAAATGGCACCCAAAATGGTGGCCATTTGCACATTTTGGCGCTAAATTAAGGAGGTCAGGATAGACCTGATTTTTCCTCCCTCCTAAAATTTCCACTATTTCGTCCCCTAAGAATTTCCCTTATCTCCATTGCCAAAACCTTCATCTCAAAACCTCCCTAAAAACTCAATCAAACCTCTCTAATCCTTCAGTTCATCACCACTACCCATCATCTCTTCCACCACATTCTTCAAGAAATCCCCTAATTGAAGACTGGAGAGCCCTTCTCCCTCACCAAGGCCGCAACACAAAAGCTCCTCTCTCTCGTCAATTTTTTTGATTCATGCACTCCAATGGCTGAAAGGTATGTGCTCCATTTCTCTTAGACATGATTAGGTGTTTGAATGGTTGAATTTGACAAGGGATTGAATGGTTGAATGATGGAGGGGTTCCAACCATGTATTCTCCTTCTCGCCTTCTCCCCATGAACGACGCCGCACAAGGGAAAAACGAGGCACAAAAGATGCAACCCGCTAACCCGGTCTGACAGGATAACCACCCAGGTTTGGCGGGTTTGACCACTTCTAGGCTGCTGTTGAAAAGGGTTGCTATAGCCCGTTTTTAAGGGCGGATCCGGGCCAACCCGGGTCCCCCCGTGGGTTGACAACCTTGGTCTTTTCAAGATTTCTAAGTTCGTAGGACCTCTTTTCCATTCACTACTTCTCTTTGGATTATCTTAAACACTTCGTGCCAAAATATGTCGAGTTGTGCAATTTCAGGCTGCCCCTGCAAAATGGTGCTTTGGTCTCCATCGTAGGTTCTGGGTTTCCATCTTTGCATCTATGGTTTGAGCTGGCATATTTGGTGCACAAGGGATCTTTGGCAAGATCAAGTTGTATATATGTTGTTTAATTTGCATATCTCGTATGTTGGATTGAGTGCAGGGTGAGGAAGATCTTCCGAGAGCTTTAAGGAGGTAGCGAATCTTCCTCTTGTTCCTCTTCAAGGATAAGTGATCGCCTTGATGATTCCATAGAGGTGGAGTATGAGGCTTCTCCTCCCGGAGTTGGACGCCACAACATGGAATTTAGATAGTGCACGCGCCTACAACAACACACTACTCCTCCAGTAGCCCATGTGGCTCACGAGGATGAGGAAGAGGTAGCTCTCTTCCAAATTGAGATAAATGATGAGCGGGTCATTGATTCCTAGGAGGAAGCTCCTCCAACACCTCAGACTATGGTGTCGCTGCACTATGCTTTCCACAATGGAATCGATGTTGCACTTCACCAATCCCGAGTATTGGGTCAAGACGCTCCTCTATAATGACATCGTGGCGGAGCTATACGGTGATATCTAATGGGAGGAATTCTAGCGCTACCAGGGCTGAGGTTCAAATATTTTCGGCCAACTCTAGGTTGCAGGTCTAGTTGAGTTGTTAGCCTCTTTCTAAGACAACTATGATGTCTTCATCGAGAAGTTAGGCATCCCGAGCATCTCTCCATGCTTTGCACGCCTGTCTAACATCATCCTAGGATGCCCTTACAGAATTGTGAGAAAGCATAAGGATAAGACTCTTTGGGAGTCCTTGACCTCCCATGAGCCTCCCTTCGCGGTCTGAGAGTCCTACTCTAACAGGAAGATGGACCACTTCCTACGGGTTGTTCAACATTTTGCGCGTCTCCTTGCACGAACGTTAGGATGGATAGGGGCAGAGGCTCTCCATCCAGGACATGCTGATTTTCCACTCCATCGTAGATGGATTCTAAATGCACTCGTGGTGGCTCATGGCTGAGATGTTTGCCAAGATATGAGGTAAGGAGAAAGCGAATCACCTTCCAAGTGGTGGGATCAGTCTCACCATCGCCGAGCACATCAACAACCATCATGATAGCTATGACCGCAATTGATGTACCCTTGAGGAGCTCATTTTTTGCACTCGTTTGCGCACACCAAAGTTGAGGTGAGCTTCTTCACCAACTCCGAGGTCGATGTCTTCAATGTGACTACACCTTTACCACTTAGACAGCAGATCATAAGCCACCCATCGAGCTCTTTGTTCATCCTTGACTCATGCTTCTACTTATACGCTAGTTTGCGGACCTGATAGATGGTGCTTTGATTTATTTGGAACCACTTCCTCCACCTCCAACGTACCAGTACCCGTCCACCCTCTCTGATGCCATCACACAGCTTCATCATTGATACTAAGAACCAGGAACAGAGGTCAAGAGAGTACATGGAGATAGAACTTGATATTCTAAACACGAGAGTCTACATGACTCACGTAATGCTCCATGAGAAGCGAGAGCTGTGTTATAGTTTGAGCCCCCGCTTCGTGATGACACTTTATTTGTAGTGTTTATCACTCCCATATTTGATACATTTTTCCATTCTAGAAATGAATCTTTAGTGGATTTTATTATATTGCAAATGGAATTCATAACTATTTGGATAATGCACTTATGATAGATCTTGAGTGTGTTTTTCTACTATTTGATGCGTTTTGGTGGTGTTTTGTGTTGTCCAAGCATATAATGCATTCAAATAAATACAAACCACTAAGGGACCAAATGGATCAGAAGGAAGACGAGAATACAAGCTAATGGAAGCAAACAGAGATGGATTTGGACATCAGATGCTCACTTTATGGCCAAAACAAACATATGTGGTAGTGTAGCAAACCCAACATTGACCGAGATCCAACCTGAGTTCTACAACTCAAAGCACACCCAAATTTGGAGGAAAGGTTTCTTTTTGGCCAAGAAACCAAGCCCAAGTGGAAAAGGGGCATCAGCCCAACTGCCATGAACCCGCCGCTCAAGCCCTAAATCTCCCGAAGCTTCCAGAATGTTCTTACTTTATCCCCAAATCGAAGGAATCCAAGAAAGTTTTGCCTGACTTTTGGAGGAAAAGGAGTAAAAACCCCCTGACCAGCATAAATAAGAGGCTATACTATATCTTTTGTACACACCTTTTACGAGCACTTTCCTAGGGGCACGAGTTAGAAATCCATAGAAAAAGGTTAAGCCCTACTGGAGCTCGATGGGTAGTTGTCACCATCGATGCATGTATTATTGGTGATGTCTTCCTATTCTCCTATGCATAGGGCATAGCTAGCTCGAAATTGTTTAGGGAAGTGACTCGATGATGGTTTATGTGCGAGTTTCGATGATTTAATGATATGCCTATTGACTCGCTAAAACACAATATCAAACTACGAACAAGTGCAGTCATAGTCTGGATATGCAGTATAATGGGACAAGTAATAAAAGTCAACATGGGGCCTAGATGTACTGCCTACTCCTTGAAATTCTATTATCTAGCGAGAAAAATTGAGTGAGAATGAGTTTAAACAGGAGCAAAAATAAAGCAGCAAGTCGTTCGGTTTACTTAAGCAAGAGAAGAGTCACTTGGGATTGTGTCCCCCTAGCTCCTCGGTTAGGTTCAAGTTGTAATTCCCTTTGGTTGTTTTAATTTCGATTAGACTGCAGAAGATCCAAAAACTTGGAATCTCTTAAGCTGACCAAGCCCTCTTAGACAGAATACCCGACAGGCGACTAGCCTTCACCGGTGTAGACTGCTAAGGCGATTCACACATATCTATTCTACTTGGAACGAATTTCAGTACAAAACAGTGAATTGATTGACTCTCGTACAATCAATTCACTACTAACGATTGAAGAAGCTCTTATAACATAATCAGATTCTATCTATCATAGGTTAAAGCAGAAGTTAAGAGAACTTGATCAGGATCCAATTGACTCAATAAACATGCCTCAATTGATTAAAATCGCTAACACATGGGACTAGGGTTCTTCATATCCAAGTGAGAGAAAGGTTTACTCCTTAGAGAGAGTGAGAGAGTGAGAGGAAAACAGAAATAAAAGCAGTCAAACTCATAATGATGTGTATAATATGCTCTGGGATGTCAATCTTCACTCCTGGAGATGCAATATGAGCTTCAATGGTGACAAATCCACTCCAAATAGCTCATAGAGTTTGTTCTTCGTCACTTTCTCTCTTTAGAACTCTGTTTTTGCTCCAAAAAGTCGACTAAGACATGAAATTTGACAAAAGAGCATTACCTAGCGTAAAATAGGTCAAGGAAACACAAATTCGAGCCTTCTTTTAACGTCGAGGTTCGGCTTTTCCAATGAGTTTCTGGTGAGCACCGATTTTTTCTAATATACATTTTCTGAGAGTTGGATATATTGTAGGTAGTAAAAATTTATTAACGCAGACGTATGTATAATCAATTTTAAATTAAATTAATTTTTTTTTTTTGGTTGGTAGCAAATAGCATATGCCTCTTGGCCATTGGGGTGACTAAAGTGGTCAACAACCAATCAACAAGACTAGGAATATCCATGGAAAACTTCCAAAAAGAAAGAGACAAGAGAAGGGATTGGTAGCAAACTGGCAGCGTGTTTATGAGTCCTGGTCACCTCGCCGGCCTCGCCTATCAGAGTCAGAGATCGAAGAACCTGAGGAAAAAGAAGGGCAAATGGATTTCGAGAATATAAAGAAATATCTGGACGGGAATGCTAGCGGACAAGTTGATGTCAAGAATCGATCGGCGGTCGGCGCTATGCCTTACAGATTCTTCGAGCGATTCAATGTGCAAGGTCTTCATGTCGAGCTTGTCGAACCCGGTCGCATTATTTGCTCAATTAAAGTTCCACCTAGTCTCTTGGTATGATAAGTTGCTCACTGTATCAGTTGTTTGCTTGATTTCAAGGAACCCAATTCGCTATGACCCGAATGATTGGACTCTAAATTCCTGATTCTAGGTTTTAGCTGAAATCGCGGCGAATATGGAGGGTTAAAAGATTACCCAGTTTAGTTCTCCACCGAAAGTTGCAGTATTTGATTGGAATAATCGTTTTGGTGTTTTTCAAGTACTCAGGTCTTAGTTCCTGGAGATATATCTATCCGTTTCCAATTACATTGATGGTTGTTGGGAGTTTAGGTGTTGATAAATATGGTCGATTCTGCAGAATGCTGGCAAATCCTTGCACGGTGGAGCCATCGCCACTCTGGTCGACGTGGTTGGGTCAGCTGTGATATACACTGTTTCAGCTCCTCAGAACACTGGAGTTTCAGTTGAAATCAACGTTTCTTACTTGGATTCTGCTTATGTTAATGTGAGTATCATTTACTCTTTCTGACATTTCAGTAGAACCAGACTTATTCTTGCGCATATTTGTTGAACTGGTTTCCTTCTGTTGGCTTATATCAACTGCGACTGGCTAGCATAGAGCTGGTTTTCGTTCTAGAATGCCTCTTCACATGTATTTCAGCTTGAGAGGTAATTTGCTGCAAAAGTATTGCCCCAAACTCTGCTTACATTCTAACTGACCTGTGCTAGAGATTGGTACTTGAGCACATGGAACACTTTGTCTTAATTGCTGGGATTTCATCTAATACTATAGCCAACTTCGACCATGTTTGGAAAACTTTTCTGCTTCGGTCATGCGATGAACTCCAAAACTAGGATCATGTTGTTTCCTTTAAAGGGTTATAGTTTATTAAGATACTTGTTTGATGATTCAGAACATTATATCTTTGTTGGAATTTGCTGGTGCTCCAACATATGTTATCTGCCATACTTTCAATTTAGAAGACTGTTTGATACATAAGAGTTTCAACCTGAGCTCCTGCAGTTAGCGTGAAATGTAGTTTCTTTTACAATTTTGCTTATTTCGCTAGGGATACAAAAGTATTTTTGTTGTTGGCTGAAACACGTAGGTTTGAATCAGCTCCTCATTACCTTCTTTCATGAACGTCCCTAGTTACTTCTCTTGGGTTAAGCTAGGATGGCCTTTGGTGCTAGATTCTACTAATTGTTGCGATTGCAACCCAGAGATCTCAAGCTTTGCGTAATTATTTAATAGCACGGCTTATCATAGCAGGGCAACAAAACGGGATACCTTCCCTTTTGAGCTGCATTTTCATGGAAAGCAGGCCTAGTTTGGCTGTGAAGTTTCTTGTTTCAGTTCGAGTACCACAAAAAAAAATTGTTGCTACTTTCATTTTGATATGGTCCGTGTTTTCTGAACGTCATATGGTTCCCGCTTCGTCCACATCTTAAGTTGCGTCTCTCAAGGAGCTTATAGTTGTCATGCTGATGATGAAAACAGGAAGAGATAGAGGTTGAGGCCAGAATTTTGCGCCTTGGAAAGACGGTGGGAGTCATCACCGTTGAGTTAAGGAAGAAGAAATCTGGGCAGATTATTGCACAGGGCCGCCATACCAAGTATCTTCTTGTTTCTAGCAAATTGTAAATTTGTAACCCTAGCGAAGAACTAGCCTATGAAATAATTATGCGATAGAAAATTATTCTTATTCTCCTTAATGGGGATTCAAAACCAATGTAATGCCACATCAGCACATGGTTGCTTTTCAGCGCCTCGCATTATTGGAGGGAAAAAAAAAAGAATCTTCCCCAAAATTTTCCCTACTTTTTTTTTTTTTTTTTGGTGACAAAATTTTCCCTACTAAAATTGAAGGTTTGGGTTGTCTACCTTGAGTTGACTAGCCAAAAACTCCCCATCACTGACACTATGAATAATTATCGTTTTTTGAGGAGATTTATCCCCATCGTTAATTAGTGGCCTCTAAAACAGTGGGGAGTACAAATTACTTACTCTCTCATATTATTTAAATTACATATAATAATTTATTATTCATTTTACAAATGAGCTATTCCATACTTAAATTTAAGGTTTTGATACCCGAATCGAATGCTGAAACGAAATGTTATTGGTTGATGGTTCAATGATTAACCGTTATACAATTATTTGTTAACCGTTGATAGAACCTATAATACGATATAATATTATTTTATGAATAGATTGGTATGTGTTATATAATAAAAAATGTGCTATAATATTAAGAAAACATATATAATACATTAGTTTATAAGTGAATTCAATACTAACCATAAAATTCATAATCCATATCATCTATCACTAAAAATCTCTAACAAAATTTTCAAACTATCTTAGAAAATAAATCATAATATTTTAATTAAATTCAAGTAAGTAATAAGAACGACAATCCATAGTGAATTAGATTAGTGATTAAGGTGGGATGGTTGTAGTTTACATTAATTTGTTTTTCATAAATTTTCAATAGTTAAAATAGTTAATAAAAGACCAATAAAACCAAGGTGGTCATTTGGTTCCACGCCAAACCCTTAAAACCCATTCGATCCATTTCCAACCATCCATCAAATGAACTAAACCGCAATTATAATTGCTTTACTAGTTCTGTTGGTCCAATCATTTATCCGGTTAGGTTCTTATAACAATGATTAAATCTTAAACAATGGACAAGCTAATTAAACAAATACATGTGTACAAAAAGCTAAGCTAATTAAATTCCCTTCATCATAAACAACTAAAAATAAACAAAAATAGCATATAAAAATTAGTGATTAAGGTGGGATGATCTTAGTTTAAGTTAACTTCTGTTTTTCATAATCTTCTAATAGTTAAAATAGTGAAATAAAGGACCAATAAAATCGAGGTGGTCATTTGGTTTCATGCCAACCCTTAAAAATAATTTGGTAAGGGTAGGCCAATTCGAGGCTGTTGCGGTCGTTCAAAAAGGATTCTTAGGCTCGGGCCAATAATAGGGAGATGCGAAATCTCCAATAGCCAAATAACATTCCGCAACAAAGAGCACCAGCAAGACACGATGGCCAAATATCCCACCGACAGCGAGAGCTTGGAATACAAGTGACGATACGTTGTCCACCATGAGCCCAAAGTGAGCACACAACGAAAATTAAAGGCCAACTTCAAACTTCCCCTTCTTGGGTATGCAACATACGAACCCGATCATCACCCCTCACCGCGAGCGAGGTAACAATGAAACGAGTTGCAAGAAGACGGTTCGATACCGAAAGCATGGAGCCCGCCTTCCTAAACAATTCAACTACCAATCATGAACATCATGTACAACGCAAAACAACCCAACAAGATGACCCAATGCCAAGCTTAACATATAGCTAAAACTAAACTCGCGACTCTAATCATTGATTCAATTTGGTTCTTATAACAATGCCTAAATCTTAAACGATGGACAAAAGCTAATTAAACAAAAACACGTCAACAAAAAGCTAAGCTAATTAAATTCCCTAATTCATCATAAACAACATAAGTAGGGATGGCAATGGGGCGGGTTTGCCTAAACCATCCCCATCCCCGCTTTCAAATATCTATACCCATACCCATGTGGGGGAAGGTTTTGCAAACTCATCCCCATACCCATGGGCAATGTAGTCAAAAGCGATTTTCTACGTAGAAACGTTTTGGTGATCTAGAAGCGTAAAATCGTAAGTTTTTAAGTTTTAAAGTGGAGTTTTTAACTACGTAAGTTATAAAAACTAAGATTTTGTGTAAAAGCATTTTAGTGAGCTAGAAACGTAAAATCGTAAGTTTTTAAGTTTTAAAGCGCGATTTTGACTACATTGCCCATGGGTAATACCCGCCCCGTACATCCAGCATTATAATACATAATATTTTACATGTAGATTTTCAATTATAACATTAAATGCACCTACTATATCATGAAGTCGACAAAGAGGCAATCATTTTTAATACGATTCAAAGCATCTTATTGTAAAGCATCCATTAATCCATACCAGAGTAGAGTACAATGTCATCCAAATAATTATTCTCTACTCTGATGCATATATTAAGTAATAATTAACTAACACAATCTTCTTAACAAGGGGAAAAAGTGAAGGAAAAATTGGAAAAAAGAAATTAGATTTTGATTTGTGTGACCACTCAATTGCATTTCTACTATATATTTTTCTTGAGTTATACTCACTATTATTGATAAGTTACAAATTGATTCACATACTTTTCATACATGAAGAAATATTTTTGGTGGTGCGGGTATGGGTATGGGGCGGGGAGGCTAAAACCATACCCGCCCCATACCCATCAAACTTTTTGCGGGTTTTACCCATACCCGCCTCATACCCGGTCAATGCGGGGATTCCTCGCGTTGACTGGGTCGGGGCAGTCAGATACCCGTGGGCATGGGTTTTATTCCCATCCCTAATCGCGGGCGAGGTAACAATGAAACGAGTTGCAAGAAGACGGTTCGATACTGAAAGCATGGAGCCCACCTTCCTAAATAATTCAACTACCAATCATGAACATCACGTTCAACGCAAAACAACCCAACACGATGACCAAATGCCAAGCTTAACATATAGCTAAAACTAAACTCGCGATTCTAATCATTGATCCAATTTGGTTCTTATAACAATGCCTAAATCTTAAACGATGGACAAAAACTAATTAAACAAAAACACGTCTTTTTGAGTGCACCCAACTCTAAAAGTGTCCATAATATATCAAATTTTAAACCTTAATTAGTACTCTCAATCTAATATGATGATATGACATAGAATCATAACAAATCAATGTATTAGCTCAACCCCTTAACCTTCAATTTTGAATCCTAACCCAAAATCCCAAATTGTAAACCTAAACCCTAACCCTAAATCCCTAAATCCTTCGAATTAAAGTAAATTTTGAATGATTTTCCCCCAAAATTCATGTGCTTCTTGTTCATAATATCATAAGCAACCATTGATACCATTTTCACATAAATCGCATGCTCAGAATGACAATTATGAGGAGCCAGCTGCCTCCCTTCTAGATCTCTTCGTTTTCGTATATCCTGTAGTAGGTCTGGTTTTCCTTTGAGGAAACTTTTGTAACGAGGGTATTTGATTACTTTCATGGTTTAATTAGAACAAACTAAGTTAAGTGCTGGAAAATTCTTAGTTCCAACTTTAATTGGACGCAGGAGGTTCAACCAGCCACATATTAGTTTCCTATTAGTTAGTTTATTTTTTTATATATATTTTTTAATTCTTAATTTATTTAACATAATTAAGGATAATTAAATATTAAGAAAAAAGGAAGGTGAGTCCACCAATAACAATCTGACATATGGATGGTTGAAACTTTTGTGTCCAACCAAGGTTGGAGCTAAGAATTTTCCAGTCTACTGTTATGGAGGTTCATTGAGAGATCAAGATACGAAAGGTTACAATAATGGCTACATTAAAGGGAAAATATGAAGTTTTGACGCACGACTAACTACAATCCAATCATAGGCCAAATTTAGGGATGTCAATTTCGACCTGACCCGTTTTACTTGACCTGTTTGATCTGTTTTGGGGTGGGTTCGACCTGCCCCATAGGCGGGGCGGGGTGGGCATGGGTATTCTCATCGACCTGACCTGCCCTGACCCGCCCCATTCTTGACCCGTTCTTGACTAAACTACATGTAATTTTATTCAAAGTACTTAGGATTTTCTTTTTATTACATCATATTTTAGTTGTTATAAAGTTGTAAATTAGTGAAAACCTCAATTTCTCCAATAATGTAACTATATTTTATCATATTTTTTTTTGGTCTTACAGTGAAAATAACTAATATTTCTAATGATTTCCATATAAATTAATACCCTTGGGTCGACCTGCCCCGACTCGCGCCCCATGATTAATTACCCGGCTTGGACCCGACCTGCCACGGGGCGGGTATGGGTATCGAGATATTCGCCCTGTACATGCCCCACTGCCATTCCTAGCCAAGTTTAACCTACAATAGGGTATAGTATAGAACAAGTATATTTCAAATTATCAAATCCGGGCGGACTATCTATCCTTACTTCAGCAAACAACAAATTATCTAGCGGTAGAAACGTTGTTCTAAACTATTAAAGTAAACAAACAAACAAGTAAAACAAGGTTGAATTCAAGTGAGAAAGCTTCACTCGGATGATAACCCCCCTAGTCCCCTATTGAGACGATGACATGATACTCTAGCGTGATTTGCATATTATATATACCATTTGGAGATCAAAGTTAGTTAGGACTCCCTATTCGAGTGCATCATAACCCGCCTTATTGCTGTAATCGAAGAGGCGTACTGACTACCAGATTAGGCAATTAAGGCAACCAAATTCACACCCTCGGGCGATGACCCTGAGTGGTGTAAAAAAATCAATCACCCTCGTTCATGGCTCTACTACAATGGTTTAAAGGTGAATGTTTGCCCCCCTGTGCGGGTTATTAATTGGTTTCATGGCTCGAACTAACTATCCCATCCTGAGCCAAGTAGAACTCAAGAAGGCATTGTCAATATAGTGGTTGACCAATGTCGTATTCCACAGGTCTTGATATCTTAGGTTACTGCTCACTCGGAATTTATCTAGTCGATCGCGTTTAGGGTTGTTTTGGAGGACAAAAGGAAATAACCGGCTACGAAAGCAGAGATAAAAACCAGGTTCTCGGGGAATCACCCTCGCCCTAGATAATAGACCTATCATGCAAAAAGATAACTTTGTCACTTTGTGGAAAACCAAGTGTGAGACTCACTAATGTGGGAACTCGCTCAATGGTCATGCAACTAGCCCTTCTCCTAATACGATCTGTTGATCGAATGTCGTCTCGATCATGTTCACGATGTTAGAGATATGGTCTATTCCCTTTCAATAGGTTGCACCTATATGCACACTAGTTCGATATGTCGATGGTCATGATTGTTTGACTTGGTAATCTTCGTTCCTCGGCCTATTTTATGCTAGGTTGTGCTTATTTGTCACATTTCAGGTCCTAGTATGTGTGGGATGGTCAGGAACGAGTTTCAAAGCATTTAAGGTCAAAACGAGCCAAAAAGTAGAGCATGTGCAAGGTTCACAGGCAGGAGGAAAATATCACGCCCTAGGGTAGTGAAAATCATCTGCATACCATGATGTGTGCAAACAAAGTTTTTCTTCCTCGTGTCTAAGGGCATTAGTAAATTGACTTCTCTTTCTCAGCCTCAAGTGGGGAAAGTGATGGTTGAGAGGATGGAATAGTGAAGAAGGTGAAGCGTTGTACGTGAATCCTATCTCTCAAGCACTAATTCCCACCCTGCACTCCCAACTCAACAAAAAACGAGTTGCCACACAGGTGATGTACATACGAGAGTCGAGGTCTCTCGACTTGCGTCAAGGCGCACTATCTCCTCTCATATAAGTCCCGCGAGGAGAAGATGTGCAAAGGGATGGAACGTAGAAAATGATGATTGTTGGACCCTAAAAAGCTATGCAATCCTCAGACACATCCTCAAATGGCACTCTGGACCAAGAGAAAAGCCCTTTGAAGGCTTTACTCAAACACTATGCCCGACCACCTTTCATGCGAAAACACTCATTTTCAAAATGGAGCACCTTTTTGAAGAACTTTATGGAGTCCAAAATTGGAGAGAGTCTTACACACATGTCCTAACCTAATAGCAAACAGTATCAACACAGCCAAGAGGAAATAAAAGTAAAGCTACTCATGATCAACAATTTTCATAACACCACACTACTCCCTATAATGCACACCATCATAAAATCGAACTTTTCAAAGGACAGTGAATAGGAATTATGCATGGGACAATGTGTTCGGAACCATAAAATTTTAAATTTTGGGCATACAACCTAGGTTCCAAAATACTCTCCATGTAGGCCAACATTCAATCATCCATTCCACAAGTTTTGGAGGCCTCAAATTGCAGGAATTTTGGTAATAACAATGCTCCAGAGCATTCAATATAAACGGAGAGACTAGGAGAGATTGTTGAGCTAGCATGTGCACGACTTGCTCACAATCATCTCCTACCATTTGAAGAGAAAAAGGAGGTCGAAGAGGCTAACTAAGAGGACTCATGGGAGCAAAAAGAACTCATCTCGGAGAACTCTAGATGACAATGAGCAATCGAGTCCTTTGGAGGTGGACCACATTGTGGAAGAAGCATTGAGAGTCAAAGAAGAGGAAGACCTTGATTGTTCCCAAGTGGAGGAACAAATTGAAGAAGGAAGGGAAGTTGAGGATGCAAATGAAGTCCAATATGAGGACAAGGTTGGGAAGGATGAAGCTTCCACAAGTTACAAATGCTACCAAAGCTTTCCACTCGACCTTGATGCGTTAATCGAAAAGGAACCATTTGCGGCTCTTTGCCAAGCCAAAGCCAAACAATCGGCGATCCCTCTAGTGGATGCGATGGAAATCAATCAACGTTGCACAACATGGTGTGGGGCAAAGAGAAGAGAGACGAAGAAAAGAAGAAGAGGTCTCGTGGGCGGAGACACAATTCTTACCAAGTCCACAGGTCATTCACATAATTTGAAGCATCCAATGCTCGAGATTTGAGACACCACCTCACCGGCGAGAACCTCAACTTCAAGGAGGTTCTAAGTTGGACCGAATCACCGATTAGGCATTTTACAACACGGTTCCGCGTTTTGCATGCCCAGGGCTAGTCGCCACGATTTCCTCTTGCCCGACGATTAATCATGCCTAGTCGGGCGTGTAATCGCAACTTCTTGAACACTGACATTAAATTTTAATGACGTCTGACTGGAAAAATCACCTATCGAAGTACAAGCCGAGACAATTTGAGCAATATGAAAAAGTTGAACTACAATTAAACCACGATTGAAGTATAAGATATCCTAACATTGATTTTTCCGATACAATCTCTGATACAATTTTACAATCCTTCAAATACACCGCAACTTAAACCAATAACACTAGTTTATGATTACAGGATACACAACTGTGTCTGTAAACCTAGAGTTTCCTGGAACTACAGAGAAACTCTCACCCTCAGAAAATCCTTTATCCGAAAGCACACTAGCAGGCAACTGGGTTTGTTGTACCCGTAGTTAACGAGGTATCGGCGATGGGTTATCCCATTGCAGAAAAGTGAAACATTTAGAAATTCATACAACCATTTATGCAGAGAAAGAGAGAGACGCAAAATTTGGGTATGGCTCCTGCTCATTGAGGACTAATCGTTTGGTTACAGTCAGGATCAGCAGGTTAAGAGAGGAGAGAAGTCAACACAAAGAACTTGCTATGAAACAAAATGAATCGATTTTAAGATGAAGATCCATTTGGTGCTGCGAGTCCTCCAAGGGCATCTCCCAAGTTAAATGTTCCTCTCATGGTCCTCCTCCCAACTCCTCCGTTTCCCATTCTCATCATTGCAGCAAATTCTCCATAGTCTATCTGTCCATCCTGCAAACCCATCACAGAAACATGAGGATATGAGGGAAACTTAAAAAATGCAAGATCCGAACACGACCCAGTGTCTAGGTAAAAATACTCACATTATCTTGATCAATCTCCTTAATCATTTCATCAAGATGGAGCTCACTCAGCCCAAACTCCTTGCATGCTTGCTGAAGCTCATCAATGGTTATGTACCCGCTACCATCTTTGTCAAAGAAAGAGAACGCTGACACTAAGTTTTCTTCTCTCTCCAGTTTATTCAAGTGCACCGTAGCAGCTAGGAATTCTCCATAATCAATCGAGCCGCTGTTGTCAATATCAGCCTGCGTGCAAGAATGAAGATTGCCATCACTTCCAGATACTCTAATTGGACTCAAGAAGTTAGAGAAAAGAGGGTTTATCTTACCGCATTCATCAAATCCATTATCTCAGACTCCATAAGTTCAGATCCAACTCTCGTCAACCCATCTTTTAGTTCCTCAAATGTTATTGTTCCACTGTTGTCTGTATCTATCATTCTGAACAACTCCTTTAGACCACCAATCTCTTCTTCTGATAGCCTCTCTGCTATGACCTGTAAATGTTAAAAGGTTGGAGAAAATACAATGAACTGACTGCTGTGGGACAGGTTTAATGAACCAAGAATCGGAATCTGTAGGGTCACAACCTGAGACAGATGCAGACGAATTCTTTCAAGAGACAGAGGATCATGTGGCAACGTCTCATTAAGACAAAACCACATGTGGAGATGCATGTGTGAGATATTATTTCATAACACAGGATATGCTTTGCAACTTGCGTGGTGCAGAATTTTGAAGCAAATGAAGTTTTGGCAGGTATTTCACCAGGGAACAGATTGATTGGCTCAAAGGCTAATGATTTGAGTGAATCAAGCATAAGTTTGTAATGTATGAATGTCTCTAAAAATAATGAGCCATGATGGTCCAGAAGAAGAGCTATTCTTGCTAACGACCATGCCTTTTCCATAGTTTACAACTTACCTTATCAACCGATGGAGGTTAAGTCCTATGAATACGAAAAGAAATATCACAATCTAGAGCAACTTACACGTAGTGCCATCTTCTTCAGTTTATTCATTGCAGAGAATTGCTTCAGACGTGATAATACAGCAGAATCGAGAGGTTTATCCGGGGCCATTGTGTCGTCCAAAATCCAGGGATGACCTGAAGCAGAAAAGAAAAGTTTGGCACCCTTAGCAGTTAGCTCGTATGTCTCCCAGCATTAATGATAACAAGTGTATGAAATTATTATCCCTGAGACGAATAAGACCACAACTTACAGAGGACTTCATGAGCAGATAACCTCTTCCTCGGGTTCCGCTCAAGCATCTTTGTTATCAGATCCTTCGCACTGTCTGAAATACTAGGCCACGGTTCAGATACAAAATCCAATTTCGCTTGTAGAATCTGCCGAAAGATTCCTACTTCGGTTTCTGGAGATAAACAAAAATGGATACAAACATCATCACGATATGAGATAGAGCGACGACCATAACACCTTAATGTAAACCAGAACCTGGCTACCTGCCCAGAAGGGTGGCACCCCGCTTAGCAAGATGTATAAAATGATTCCTGCACTCCATACATCAGATTCAGGTCCATAATATTTGCGCAAGACCTCCGGTGCAACGTAGTAAGGGCTACCAACAACATCCGACAATGTTTCACCTACAAACCCACCAAAAAGCTAGTCATCATCCATTGGCACCAAACCGAATATCTTGTAACAGAGAAGACTTCAGCTGAATTCTAGGAATTCTTCAATGGACAATCTGGAGGTCTAACTTGTTCAACATGTTCAGTTCCAATTCTTTCCTTAAGCTAATCACAAATTTTCAAAGACTAGAGCTTTCGACTCCAAATCCAGAATGTCTTCCCAAATACCAGATTCCACCAACTATTATATCCGTACTAGTGGGCAACCACGAATTTAGCCAATGAATTCGTAGACCTATACCATTAAATAACTGCCTTTAAGGCGGTCCGCCATTGAAGTTGTGTAATGTAAGAATGCAAAGGCGTACATTCTTGATTGAAATAACTCAAGCAAGAGCATGCTTCATCATTAGTCAGTCCGGATAAACAAATGAAACCATCAGGAAAGCAATGCAATACTAGAGCTTCTATTCACTAATTGTCCGCAAGAAATGGCAAGCAAGATCAGCTGAGATAATCATCTACTACAGGCGGGAAAAATCCAATAACCATGAATTCACAAACAACTGCAAGGGTGGGGAACAAACAAAACAAAAAAAGATAAAAGCGCGTGGAGACTCTTGAAAGTTGAAAAGGATTGCGATCTCGAGCATAATCAAGAAAGATCAAGAGAAACCAAAGATGAGGAATCTTCGCAAAGATGAGATTTGATCAATCCCCGTCAAATCGAAATACAGAACAGTGACAGAGGCAAAGCGTGAATGATTGGAGGAGGAGAAGGAAGAAAAATCCAAAACCTGGCTTGAAAAACACAGAGAGACCGAAATCAGTGGCTTTAAGAGCAGCATCCTCAGCATCGGTATCGAACAAGAAGTTCTCAGGCTTAAGATCTCTGTGCATAACCCCAAGAGAATGGCAAGACTCCACAACACCAACGATGACCTTGATGAGCTTAGCAGCTTCCCGCTCGCTGAAATGGCCCTTCTTGACAATCCGATCAAAGAGCTCCCCACCTTGGCAGAGTTCCATCACCAAATGGACGGCAAGAGCATCCTCGAAGGCACCCCTGATCCTGACGACATTGGGATGCTCGGAGAGATGGTGCATTATTTGGATTTCCCTCCACACGTCTTCGTAGTCCTCCTTGCAGAAGAGCTTGCGCTTGGGGATGGATTTGCAGGCGTAGAGATGCCCCGTTGAGGTGTGGGTGCAGAGGTAAGTGGTGCCGAACTGGCCTTGCCCCAGCTTCTTGCCAATGGAGTACTGATCTTTGAGGTTATCGGTCCGATAAGGGAGAACCCATTTGGTTTTGGATGAAGAAGAAGAAGGAGGTGGAGGCGCAGGGGAAGGCGAGGTTGTGGGTGGGTTCTGATTCTCCATCGCTCTGCTACTGAAGCTGGAAGGAAAGAAACAAAGAAACAAAGAAAGAAAGGAGAAAGGGGAAGAAGGAAGGAAGGAAGGGCGGGGGAAAGGAATGGGGGTGATTTGGGGAAGGGGACTACTTGACTGGTCTATTCTGGGTTGGTGGGTCAGCCAGCCCTGGTTGCCGTCATGCCCACCACCACTCTTGCTGACTGTGAATGTGAATTGTCATTTTCATTTTTCCTATTTTACCTTTTGGGATACAAAAATCGTGAATGTCACTTTCCAAACACACAAAAGGAAGGAAAATAGGAGGGGGAAAATATAGAGAAATTATCTGAATCGCTATTTGTCGCCTTAAAATTCAAATTTTATCGCCCTAAAATACACCAAATTGACATATTTACCCTCGACACAATTTATTTTCTAAACCCTAAACCAAACAATCCCTCCCCAACCAAATCCGCCGTCAGCAAGTCCCTCCCCCGGATTCTGTGACTAGACGTAACCATGGAGCTTCCTAAACAATGCTCTGATTTGCTTTTTCTGCAAAACCCCCCAAAAAAAGCGATGGAAGTTTTAATGGCCGGGCAGCAATAATGCAAAAGATAAGTAGGGGTAGCTAAAGGGTCCATAGATTTGAGTGACTTGCTGACCTTGGAGCGCAGGAGGCGCTTCTGCTTGAAGGCACGTCGAGATTGGAGGTTTGGTCGGAGTTCATGGCGACGACCAATAAGGAGGATCGACGGTAGGTTATGGAAGTGGAGCGGGGAAGAAGGGGCGCAGTTGGAACCGTCAGAAGGAAGACGACGACCAACACCATAAGGTCCACAACGGTGAATTTTTTTTTGTTGCAGCGCCGGACGGATCGCCGGCGAGATACGGGACAACGAACAAAGAAGTTTAAGGGTTTGAAAGACACATAAATGAGCTAAGGACATTAAGGTAAAATTGACTTAATTAGGGCGACGAATAAGGAATTTTAGAGCGACGAATAGCAATGCCCGAAATTATTGGGGTTAATTGCATAGTTGGTTATTGAGATTACAAAAAATGTTCAAGTTTGGTCACTCGAAATATTTAAATTCATTGGTGGTATTTCAGTTTACTGAAACCGTTCACGTTTGGTCACTCTCCGTCCAACTCCGTTAACTTTGACTGATGTGGCAGTCAACTCTCAAAGTTGACCGTTAACTTAGTGACATGGCAACTAAAAAATTATTAGAAAATAAAAAAAAATTATATTTTCCACCTCATTATTACATTCATTAAAAAATAAAATGAAAATGAAAAACCTAATCTACCAAAAAAAAATGAAAAACCTAATTTTGTTTTTCTACAAACCCCATACCACGCGCACCCATCCGCCGTGCTGTTCCCGTCACAGCGGTCGTTGGGCAGGACCGATCGGGATGAGCTGAGGTCCTCGATGCTCCCGTCGAATGTCAATTGCAGGATCGTGAAGTTGCGCTCTTTCCTGTTGCTGTTCTCCCTGGTGGAGGCCGTGAAGGTCAAGTAATCGTCCTCGTCGGAGATCCGCGTGCGAGTCAGGTTCAGATCCAGCGACATCCCGGCCGCGAGAGCCAAGTTCTTAGGATCACAGGACAAGCAGCTAAATATCAGAAGCAGCAATCAAAAGTGTGCATATACATAAAAGCTTTTATTTCGGGGAAATTTACTTATAAAGTTGCTACTGGCATCAGAACAAATTCAATAATTAGAGATTCCTCATACGATTGGTCCAAGATAGGGTCAGTAACCACTGGTTACTGACCCATCAGTAACAACACGCGGGCCGTAGATTTGGGGAGGGAGAAAGCGTGTGAATGGGCTGGATGCTGGGTGGGGAGGGGCATTTTTGTCCGTTTTCGTATTTTTAATTTTTTATTTATTCCGCATTTCAATGCTGGCTTTTCAATGGAAGAGAGAGAATCTTCCTTCTCTGCAACTCAACTTTATTCCTTCTCTCTTCCTTTTTTTCAATCTCTTTCCATAACCTTTCTCTTTCTCTTTCTCTATTCCTTCTCTCTTACTTTTTTTCTCACAATCTCATTTTCAAATCTAAATCTGCTCTCTTCCTTCTTCATTTTTTTCCTCTAGCATAAAAATTGTAGCCACTCTCTTTCATTGCATTTCTTCTCTTCATCAACTCGTTGGACTCAATTCCGATCTTTCTCATTTTTTTTGGCATTTTGGTGTTCTTGATTGAGGAAGAGGAAATGAGAGGCATCAGAAGACGATTTTTTTCTCTCCCTCCTTCTGTTTTTTTCCTTTTAGATAATATATATTGATATTATGACTCTATACCATATGGTATTGGGTGGTAACGAAATATATATTGACATTACCACACTATACCCTATGGTAATTTATGGTATTGCGTGGTAACGAAATATATATTGATATTACCACACTATACCATATGGTATTGTGTGGTAACGAAATATATATTGATATTACCACTCTATACCATATGGTATTGTGTGATATTACCACACTATACCATATGGTATTGTGTGGTAACGAAATATATATTGATATTACCACATTATACCCTATGGTATTGGGTGGTAACGAAATATATATTGATATTACCACACTATACCATATGGTATTGGGTGGTAACGAAATATATATTGATATTACCACTCTATACCATACGGTATTGTGTGAATTGTGTGATATTACCACACTATACCATATAGTATTGGGTGGTAACGAAATATATATTCATGTGGCAAATATTACCATACCACATGGTATGCTCTTGTTTAATACCAGTCAATACCATATGGTATAGACCGGTAATAATTGACAAATTTTTTGTGTCCAAAAAATATCAAAGTGGATATCATTTTGAAGAGCACAATTAATCTGATCTAACTGTGCAAAAAAAATTAAATTTCGACTTAAAACGAGTGAGAAATCGTCCGTTAAAGGTTAAGAGAAGGAAAATTAAATGTTTTGCCAGGAGAGAGAAGGAGGGGTTGATAGGCTCCGGTCAAAAGTGAGCATCAATAATAAATAGGAGTAAGTGCAATTTTACCGTACTACCCTTTTCACATTTAATTTAAATAAAGGGTTAATACCTTATTTTGGCCCGAACTATGACCATATAATCAACTTTGGCCCGTGGTTTCAGAAATTAACATCCTGGCCTCAACTATGCAGCATATAGACTCAATTGGCCCGACACATAGTTTGACCGTCAATTTGGACGGTCAACTCCGTTGACCGTTAGTCAACATGCCATGTCATTGCCTAGTCAGCCTAAAAATTATTAAAAAAATTTAAATTCAAATTATTTTCCTAATTTCTATTATTTATCATTTTACAATTAACCAAAAAATAAAATTCTAAAAATATAAAATAATTTTTTTGTGATATTTGAAAATGATAAAATTTATAAATTAACCAAAAATTATCAAATTAAATTTTATAAATTTAAAATTTATGATATAAATTATATTTTGGTGCGAAGTTTTAAAAATATAAAATAATTTGATAATTTTTGGTTAATTTATAAAATTCATCATTTTTCAAATTATCCAAAAAAATAAAAAATCAAATTTATTTTATGTTTTTTATAATTTATTTTTGGTTAATTTAATAATAAATTAGAAAAATTAGAAAAATAATTTGAAATTTGTATTTTTTAATGATTTTTAGGCTGACTAGGCAATGACATGGCGTGTTGACTAACGGTCAACGGAGTTGACCGTCCAAATTGACGGTCAAACTATGTGTCGGGCCAATTGAGTCTATATGCTGCATAGTTGAGGCCAGAATGTTAATTTCTAAAACCACGGGCCAAAGTTGATTATATGGTCATAGTTCGGGCCAAAATAAGGTATTAACCCTTAAATAAAAAAGTGACTGACACGTGGGGACCAGGGAAATGGTTACTGATGGGTTACTGACCCATCAGTTACTGACAAGATCTGGACCCAATACGATCATACCCATCTCTAACTAACAGGTGGTGTAACTTGTAAGTTAACATTAATTGAGGAGGAGAAGAGAAATTAAGCAGACAGTACCTTACAGGACAAGAGCTTAATACAGCAGCCATAAGGCTGCTCCTCAACCTTAACCAGCAAAACAGGGCAAACTTCAAAATTGAAGAACTTGAACCTGTAGACATAACACTTGAACGTGTTGTCATCTACCCTCTCTATCCTCTCGATCGGCATCCAGCACCGAGTACTGACTCGCCGGCAAGCTCATGTACTCCGCTACAAAGTTGCCAACCAAGCAAGAAAACCCTCAATCAATCAGAACAAGCAAACCCAGATCCCGTCCCGGACACGAAGTGAATAACATACGCTTATCCTAACACTACTTAGAGGGCGCCCAAGTTGGCTGACGGAGATAGATTCCTTCCGCCGTGCCACGAACCGGGCTTTGGGAGCCGAATCCGCAGACGCTCGCAACCAAGCGCAAGTGGTGGGAGAGTAGTCATTGCTGTGGGAGAAAGTAGCGGACTGAGAGTGAAGAGGCTGTGGTCCTTCACGGCCCCGGATCGGAGTATGCCGCCGGCTCCGGCGGGAGTGGCAGTCGAGCTGTAGTACAGAACAGAGCCATTTGAAGAAGATAAGAACAACAGTCAAAACAATGCAACAGAGAAGGTTAAAGATAGTATTAGATCCAGCATCGGGTATGGGGTTTGTAGAAAACAAATTAGGTTTTTTTTTATTTTTTTAATGAATGTAATAATGAGGTGGAAAATATAAAAGTTTATTTTTTTTATTTTTTAATAATATTTCAGTTGCCACATTATTAAGTTAACGGTCAACTTTGAGAGTTGACTGCCACATCAGCCAAAGTTAACGGAGTTGGACGGAGAGTGACCAAACGTGAACGGTTTCAGTAAACTAAAGTACCATCAATGAATTTAAATATTTCGAGTGACCAAACTTGAACGTTTTTTGTAATCTCAGTGACCAACCATGCAATTAACCCAAATTATTGGAATCAAGAAATTTTCATTTGTTCGTGTGTTTGTTATAGACGGATAGTATAGGATGATTATTTTGGGTGAAAATTATTATAGTAGGTGTTAGGTGTTCCCTAATTCGGGGTGAAAACTTCTCTTCTCCTTACTAGTTGTGAGCCGGCCCATTGGCCGGATAAAATGATAAACTGATCTCAAGACAGATTGTGGTTTTTTGGGTGATGACTAATTAAATGAATCCATGGCTATATATAGAGCCTCCTATTCAGATAAGTACTTTTCATAGAGGTTCGGTTGAATGCTCAAATCGATTTAAGTCATACCAAAGTCTACCATATATTAATGGTGGATTGTATTTTTTTCCCCTCCATATTTCTCCCTTCAAATATGAACATCATTTTTTTCCTCCTTATTTCACCATTATCAAATTTTCATCCCCTCCCAATTTTTCTTCCAATCCTAAATATGAACACCATTTGTACTCCCAACCAATGTCATAAAATTCACTAGTTTATTGCTCTCCAGTCTTGTTTCGTCTTTTCTCGTTGCAACTCTATTTAAATCAACTTGACGTAAATGAATTGGGGCGTGGACAAGAGTAATGAACGGTTTGCACTTTGTTAGTTTAATCAATATTAAATTATTAAAATTTCGTCATCGAATGGTGTCTCATAACTAAAATTTTATAATTCGAATAAAAATTAATTCACTAAACCACAAGTTCAAAATAGAATACATTGCTCATTGATATGTTGTATGATAGGTTTAAGTTTAATATGGTAGGTACCAAAACTATCAAGATTGTATTCCCACGACACGTTTCAATTCCCACTACTTTGAAATGATCATTGTGTTCTCTGAAAAACAATTTGAGGTTGAGATTCGAATTTGTCATATTAAACAATGCATAAAGAGCACAGAACTAAAACTACTAAAGAATGCACGAAATACTGAAGACAATTACTAGATATGTTAAACATAAAGGAACAAATTAGAATTATTAAGCCGCAAGCATCCAAAAATAACCAAAATTGTAATTCACTGTTCATTACGAAATAATCGCACTCCGAACTGTTCACAAAAGGGCTGAATGATTCGCTGCGGTATAATTCACGTGAGCCCATGTGTACATATGTTGGGCTGGCCAAACGTGGCTGTTGTTGACTTGTTGGGATTTTTGGTTTGTAAGATTCATGAGCTCACAAAAGAACAGCTACACTTGATCGGTGGCCCTCCTTTAAAAAAAAAGGAAAAGAAAGGGTCCCACTTCGCAAACCTTCTTCCTTCTCTCCCCTCACGAGTCATGACTGTCTTTCAAATTCACCAGCTCGCATCTCCGAAATCACTGAACGGACGCCGACGGGAGACGGTGGCGAGACAAATCTACGAAATCGAAGCAAGGGCTGTATTTTCCGCAAAATCGAAGGCGTCCCTGAACTGACTGAACGGCACGTCGGTGGTAGACGGTGGCGACGACAGATTTTCCATCTCCGAACCCACTGAACGAACGCCCACGATCGAAGCTTGATTTCTCTCTCTCTCACTCTCACCTCCGTGAACCCACTGAACGGCACGCCGGCGGGAGACTTGCGACACCAGATTTTCCCTGAAAATCCCATTTCTTCTTTCCGAAGAACTTCCTCCTTTCTTCAGGAAATCAATATCTTCTTCTCTGGGAAATCAAAACTAGGGATCGCAGGCTTCGTATACAAATCTGGTACTGAGCTTAGCCCAATGATGACATCGAATTCCTAGAGTGCCGGCACCTAGACCAGAGCCTCCGATTTCCCTTTAAAAGACAAACATTCATAGAACAAACCCTCAAATTTCCCTTAATCCTAACAGATCCTCAAATTTTCCTTTATCCAATACAATGAGGAAGAATAGAAAGCCTCATCATCCAGGCTAAGGCCATCTCTCAATCCCTCGCTACCGCCAAAAGCAAAAAAAGATTCAAGTTTTAAGGGTGCTTCTGCTTCATAATTGAGGAAGAGAGTTTAGCGACTCTTATTTGCCCATTTGGTATATTATATTTATATATGTGTGCTTGATAATTGAGGGACGAGAGTTGAGAGGCAGAGGAAAAGGAAGGGGAAACATGGTGGCGACACCTGTTCCTATTTGTGCCCCATCTTAACCCAAGTGTCCAACATGCATATTATTAGACTTGGAGTAATAATAAAAGGGAAGAAAAGAAATATATAATAATTATTGGAATGTGGATATAATGGTCTCTCTCTTCAACTTCAGCTATTAACACATTAGCCTAGCTTTTAAAACCTCTGATTTTCTTGCATACAACTTCTCCATCAGCAAGTGCTTAGAGAACTTATCTGAAGAAAAACTAAACTAATAAGCAATTTGATTTTCTTGCATTGCTATTTTGCTTTGAGTAGCAATTGTCTCCATCTACTAATCTTATAAACAAATCCATTTCTTATCATTGTATTGGTCAATTATTGGCTAATTAGATTTTAGTCGGATATTCCTAAAGGAACTTCAAATTGTCCAACCACATTTAATTAATGACTTATACCCGGATCAAAATGTTTTTTTAGGAGGACATTAGCGTATGTTAAATTATTAAATCAATTAGTTTGTAATACACAAGACGTATTTGGCAATTCCTTTTAGTTTCACAGTAATACATGTAAGCCAATGTTGACATTTCCATTCAATTCAAGTTAAGATTTAAGAATTACAAAATAATTGCGTTCTCTTAATTTCTTTTATGAATATGCGTTTTCTTAAGTTTATGGTTGGAAGAACGTAACTCGACTGAAAGGAGAGATCTAAGTTTAATAGGGCTGAAAGCGTTGTCAATCATAACAGAAAGAGGTTGATCTACAAAAAAAAGCTACCAATTTATTATTGAAAAATACTATAGTTATCCAAAATAAATATGAGTTGAGCAAGAGCCCTATAATGGGTGACTTATCAATAAGTGCCTGAGAGCATTTTTAATATTTTGATGGAATCCCTATATCAAGTAAGAGAGACATAGCTCCAACTAAAAATCAAATTGAGTTTACAACAACTTTTTCAATCTCATTTGTTAACAAATTCCTGTCCAAGTCTCTTCCAGTAATTAAGAGGAATGAAATATTCAATATTCAGATTATCTTATATATACTTTACATATTATTTTAATAATTATAATTTTAATAGTTATAAATAAATTGGATTGGTTTGTGAATCCATTTCAGTTTAATGATTAGATGTGGAAATGAAGTTGTAAGTAGTTTCACTATATGTGCTAATTAGGAAGCTTTGGATATGAGATTAAAAAAATATATTGATCTATTACATGTATAATAATTATTCCTTATCTATCAATTAGTTAAACATATTACGTAATTATTCTATAATATTAAGACCCATTGTAAAGGTTATATAGGTATCTCACCCAAACTAATTTGTGAATTATTTGATTTTAATTAAATTTTAAATGAGTTGACGAAGTCTTAAATATTTTAATTTCTTATCGCTGCGAAGCGCGGGCCAAAAAACTAGTACCAAGTAAATACGAAGTAGAGCAGGAAGTCAAATGGCGTTGTTGCATGTATTGCTTCCCCTAGAGTTTCGATATGGTCATGCAACTCAAATAGATATATAAGCAATTGATTATGTCTATGAAGGTTCTCACCGCCTATTTTGATTTAATATCCTATCCTACTTTGGTAGTTTTCACTTATAGAAGTGGACTATGTGGCATGTGTACAATTACTCAATTATGTTATCACGATTACCCTTTGCAATCAATTGTCTAACATGTATCAATATTAAAGCGATAATAATCATGCAAGAACTCATTCCCCATCAATCTCATATAAACACAAATATATTATGCAAGCCATATTGATAAACAAAATAGGATAACCAGTCAATCATAGTAACCGATCATAAAGTCCTTAGATCTCTTTCTTTGTCTTTCCTCCCCTATTGAATCCAAAGCGTCATATCACAATATTTGAAACCTTTAGGGTCCACAAATCCGAACAAGAATTTGAACTAGCCACTCATAGGTACTGAAAACATCACATTGCGATCAGAAAAACATATCATCAAACCAATTTGGCAATTTTGGCGTCACTCTAGGCCACCATTTTCTTCCTATGAGTTTTTGGATGATTTTTTTTAGTTTTGGAGTTCATCTAAAATCAGAGTAACTTATTTGTCGAAGTTCTTTTTCATTTAGAGCACAAATTGCATAAACATGTGATAAATCCGAGGATGCCCTAGGATTGTATTCCACATGGTCTTCTAATGCCCAACTATTCACATCATATCATCTATGCCACACAAAATAGACAAGCCACTTTATGGGTTTTCGTTAATTAACAAGCAAAGGAAAGGGAAGCAAGGAAAAGCAAAGTTGTTTAGGGTGTTTCAATTTATAGATGCATAAAAGTAACGATACATTATTGTATAAGAAGGTAAATCTCGACTAGCATTATGCATACTAAGGCTCACTCATATCATGCATCAATGACTCATTTATAGCATCACTCTATCCCTTCCCCTAAGGTCACTCTCTACTCGTGCATGTGTCTTTTGCAATAGAGATTTAACTAGCTAATGTGTGCTTTCGCTTCGTGTCATTACTTAATTAATGAAGAACAAGAAAGTAAGGATATCACATGATTAAGTGTGGGCCTCTATAAGCCTTAATTGATGGTCTATAGCATTAATGATCTAACAATC